TTTAGTCGAAACTGTTGACGTACACAGGAAACATCCAGATAAATTACTGCAAGTTACTTTCTTCGGGGTATCAGCCATAAAAATTGATAAATGACATATTTAGCTCTACAAACATGAAATTCGGCGAAGTTTTGAGAGATGTTCCCTGCTCAACGCTCATTGGTTGAAGGAAACAAAGGGAATGGAATGTTTGGTTAACACGAGCAGCCGTTTGTGGGGAGGGAGACACAGGGATCCCGAGACAAAGAACGGCTGCGAGAGGAGACTACCACGGGCCGGAAACGATTAAGTTACACTTTGGACGCGTAGAGTAGACTTTTCACCAGAATGACGCATAATGTTTGGGAAAAAAGCTGTCTCGTTAGTCTGAGCTTGTTCAAGGTGAAGAAAAGTCAAAAAGTTTTAAAAACATTTTATCATCATTGGTGAAGCGGCACCAGCGAGTAGTGAATAGTGAGAACGTAAATTAGACCTTTGCATCGCCATGGTGAGTCTGATCCCCGGTGTAATAGCCACAGCTGACGTCATGAGTCACGTACCACCAAACTTCAAATAAATATAACTCAGCTGAGTCACGGTAATTGTGTAGTTAAAGTTCTCGGTAGTTCTCTGGTCCTTATGGTTCTTATACTATCGGACTTCGCATAATATAACTCTTAGTAACGGTAATTGTGTAGTTCTCTGTACTTCTCTGGTTCTCGTGGTTCTCGTGGTTCTCGTGGTTCTCTTGGTTCTCGGGTTCTCTCGGTTCTCTTGGTTCTTGTGGTTCTCGTAGTTCTCTGGTTCATCTGGTTCTCGTGGTTCTCGTGGTTCTCGTGGTTCTCGTGGTTCTCGTGGTTCTCGTGGTTCTCGTGGTTCTCGTGGTTCTCTTGGTTCTCGTGGTTCTCTTGGTTCTTGTGGTTCTCGTAGTTCTCTGGTTCATCTGGTTCTCGTGGTTCTCGTGGTTCTCGTGGTTCTCGTGGTTCTCGTGGTTTCTCCCCTCCCCCCAGGTTGTGCCTAAATCCCACCGGTTAGAGGATTAAGGATTAAGGATTTATATGAATATTGATTGAGAAGATGGTAAATAGTTTTAATTATCTGTTTATAATGTTTTGGTTTTGGTTTCTAGGAATTTTTATATAGGGTTGACCTCCAGATATCCCCTTTTGAGAGATATTGATTTTCTTCTCTTGAATAAAGTATTTTATTACACTACTCTGGAAGTCAGAGGGCCAATAACTAAAATCAACCAATCAAAATGCTCTATTGCCGGTCAATATTCTCTCAGTATTGGACCGGGCACTGTCCCGAATGGTCCCGAATGATACCGCACTTGTGTCCCTTTGAACTTCAGTCGTATAATAAATCTCTTATTAACCAAGCTTGCTCGGGACCGTACTGGGAGAATATCGGCCCTCGGTCTTTTTTGTACGGACCTCGCTGCGCTCGGTCCGTACTGTCAAGACCTCGGGCTGATATTCTCCCAGTACGGCCCTCGCGCTTGGTTGATAAGATATATGTATGTATGAATATGTATGCATTTATATTTGAAGTTTGATAATACGCGACTCGTGACGTCAACTGTGGCTAGTACACCGGGGATCAGCCCATGATGACGCACAAAGTTTGGGAAACAGCTGTTAATGGCAAATGGTCCAGGGCTTTGAAATACTGAACAGTAAATTACAATTTCACACCAAATCCGGTGAAACATTCTTTCCATGACAGAAGTAGCAAAAAACATATTTTTGGACCTAAGTGTTTAGCAGGCGACTCTCTCCTTGTATTTCTCTTCTCCCTTGCGTTGGTGTTCTCTAGAAACAAAGTAGATCCGTGTCATGCCCTTTGCATTGGAAACTGTGATCAATGTCGATGGCGGACTGTAAGGGGTCCTCACACATATTTTACATCATCACAAAGGCAATCACTTAATAGGTTGGATTTTAGCAACCCGGGTTCAATCGATTCAGAGGAAGACCCTATAGCAGTCAAAGGTTCCCGAGAGTTACCATGGAAACAGAAGCTTAGCCGTTTGTTGTGCCTCGTCCTTTTTGCCAGGTAACTGATAATGAGACATCTAGTGACCCGGAATAAAAATTTCATACGCAAAACGTCTGACTAGTCAATTTTTTTTATCTAAAATAAACACTTCTTTTCTCATTTCACCTTTATGACGTTCATGCTTTTGTTTAGTGGAACCGCTGTACAGACAGTACAAAGGTGAGAACAAAGGATAAATATTTGATTCTCATTACCCTTTGAAGTGGTTCGACTTGGGCCACCAATCACCACAGGCTCGTGTTAAGATATCTCGGTGAAGCGAGCGGTATCAGCTGTGAAGGACAGCTGAGAAGAGTCGCTCCTACCCAAACAAATCAGCGAAACTTTGATTGGACTTATCAAAATAATATATTCAATACGTGTGTCATTAGTCAATCAAATTTCGCAAGTGATTCGAAAATTTACAAGTAACGGTAGACTGCTCTACTCTTTTTATTATACAGTCGATCGATCGATCGGCGGACTTATTTTGCTCTGTTCAACATTCTTGCGGAAATATGTCGAGAAAGAGGCAGTTTACCTGGCAAGAGCTTGCCAGTTTGAATCTGGAACATAATGCACACATCGCAATTAACGGGAAGGTAAGAAAGGAATCGACGTCTTTATTATCTAACTTCGCTAAAACTTCAATTACGTGCATGCAATATCTCACGTTTAACGAAGGAAGCTGCATGATTGTTTGCTGTTGCAGTATAACCCAAAATAAGATTTATTCGGAAATCATTTAGATTTGATAGGAGAGAATGCAAATATTGGGATCGGATGTTTGCAAAGTTCTCTTAAAAGCAGTGTCCAACGAGTTCACCTTCACATCTGAATATTTAACTCCCTCTATGGTTGATTGAATTCAAAGCTTATATGCGTATGAATCAGGGGCTCCATTAAAAGCGGTTGTCGGTAGTCGATGGTGGAATATAAGCCCTCTTGCTGCTGTCGCCTCGTTCGGGTTTCCCTAATGTCCCCTTCCCTGGCACAGCCGCCAAATCGACAGCCGCCTAAGGAAGAATTTGATAAAAGCCCTAATGTATATATAGATCATCCACATTGAATGAGGCATTTGCATATCTGCAAGCTCCGAATAATACATCAATCAATAACAGTTCAATCAATAACAGCTTATTGTGAATATACACTTAGCTACAATAAAGGCGAACCTTTACAGACAGAACGGGATCGGTATCTGCGAAAGCACGCTAGCTAATTTACAGGGGTATTCCACAAAACACAATAAAACTAAAGTTAAAAGTTGAACATGGAATACGCTATAGTTATAATTATAATAATAAATTCCTAATAAATATATCTTGTATCGAAATAAATACTGAATTCAATAAATAAGCGAGAAAATTATAAAAATTGCACTAAGCCGACTTGTCTAATGGATCTCATCTTAAAAGACTTAAAATTGGTTATATTTCTAAACCTGTTCGGAAGTGAATTCCAGAGTTTCGGACCAATATAACGGACTGAGTTCAAGCCATATGTAGTAGACTTTGGCTTGGGTAGCGAGAGAATATAGTCACCTCTTAAATTATAGTTAACGTCCTTCCTATGAACTATCAGGTCTTGTATACTTTTGGGCGCTAAAGAATTGTGAACGGCGTTAAAAATAGACAATATAAGTTTAATTAATCTTTGTTGTTTTAAAGATGAGAGGCCTAATGCGTTAAGAAGTTATGGATAGCTCGTGTACTTATCCCTGAAAACAAACCTGATCGCGCGCTCGTTTAACCTTTCCAATTTATCTGCGGCACTTTTGTTATAGAAATTCCAGGTTTCACTGCAATAACTTGAAGTGAGGAAGGATAATTGCTAAATATAGGTCGAGCCTTGTTTCGAAGGGAAGCATTTTCTTCATTCTTTTAAGAACAGCTATTTGCTGTGAAACTTTCCTACATATTTTAGCAACATGATTATCAAACTTCAATTTGTTATCTATCGTTATACCTAACATCTCAAATTCTTTGGTCACTGGGATGCTGGAATTTTCACACTTGAAATCAAGTGGGGCATCAGAATTTCCCATCACAATGGCTTGATACTTAGAATTGTTCCTTTTCAGACCATTATCATGATACCATTTATCGACAAGCTCCAGATCAGAGTTTATAGCACTCTCAACTTCTCTGTAGTCATTATGAGCAAAGAAAATTTGCGTGTCATCTGCGTAGCTAGAGAGTTTGCATCTTTTCACGATGATATGTGTTACTTTCTTTGTTGGACCCAAACTTCCGTTGAAGAAACAGACAAGCTTTGCCCATGCATCTGTCTTAATCTAAAAATAATCAAAGCTGCTTTGGGTTTCTAAATTGCAAAATTGATTTTTTCCGTGCGAAAATCGTTTCATCGATCACTGAGTCTCATTTTTAACAGCGCTGAACATCAAAAATGGCACAAATTACCACGCTTGGCCAGCAAAGCCAAGTTTCAAATCTGAAATTATGCTTTGGATTTTACGACGTTACTAGCCTAATTTTCTACGGTGAAGCCAGTGAGTAGTATCACGATCCTACTTTCATCCCGTAACGCCTAATCACGATGGTCTTTTAATAAAGATGAGCGCATAGAAAAACACTCAAAGGACTTATTGGAAAGCCTTATGGCTATCGTCAGAGTAGTCTTTAAAGAGATGCTACATGATAACTCAAAAAGCTTCCATGAAACAGTTCGTTCTTCACTATATTTTGGGGTCCGACTACACTAAAGAGTTAAAATTTTGGCTAGAAGGGCAGAATGTACAGTACACATTTAAATCATGCACATTATAGGTTTTAGTGGATTTAATTATCGTTTCTTATCTTCTTCCTAAGGTTTATGATGTGAGTAAATTCCTTTCTCGTCACCCTGGGGGTAAAGATGTCCTGTCTATGGCAGCAGGGAAGGATGTTACCATCGTTTTTCAGTCGTATCATGCCTTCAGCGACGTTCCACCTAAGTAAGCTGCAATGTTTCAATAAAAATAAATACATCAGAGGTACCGTAAGTCAAACTTTCTTTAAATAGATGCAGCTGAAATCTAAGAGTTTCTTGCTTCAGGAAACATTTTGTTACAAAGTAACGAAGCTTGTTGTTGTTTCGAATAAAAGTTAATCGACCTGGGCGCGGTTTTTACGTCAGGGAATCACTTGCATCGTGACGCAAGTTTCTGTTTATCTAACAATCTAATATAGGACTGCTATTGACGGACATCTTATAATGATCTGTTTTTTTCCCCAGAATGCTAGAGAAGTTTTATGTCGGTGATTTACTTTCCACGCAGCATCCTACTTTCCCAGAACCTGGGTAAGTTAAAGATTATACCGCAATCGGATGAATGATAATATGTACTTCTAAGAAAAGAAAGAGCAAACAAAACAGCACAAAACTTAATGATGATAAATTTTTAAACTTTACGAGGAAGGGAGGTATCCGTTATGCCAGCGGCTACAAATTTCCTCTGTCTTTTTTTTTTTTTTTTTGACAGGGCTTTTTACAACACAGTGAGAGAAAGGGTACGGAAACATTTCGAGGACACAAAACAGGTAGCGATGCCGTTGTGAAAAATTTATATTAAAGAAGATGACGTAGATCTAGAAATTGTCTAAGATAAGATTTGTGCTGTCCAATCAAGATATTCTTTTCCTCTAAAACCATCGCACTTAGCGGCAACCCTCTGACAGTCCTTTTTCAGAGGTACTTTAGAGGTAATTTGGATATATCAACAAAGTTGAAATGGTAAATTGGCCACCGTAACGATTACAAAAGCTGACGTTTCGAGCGTTAGCCCTTCGTCGGAGCGAATAGAGGAATTGTGGGTTGTGTGTACTTTTAAAGGCAGAAAATGGAGCTACGTTATTGGTGAGGTACCTTGAAGCCTTTTTTGGCCTGATGTATTTAATCCAGCACTCCAACCAAGGAGATTGCTGTCCAATCACGATATTCTTTTCCTCTTAAACCATTGCACTTTGCAACCCTCTGACAGCCTTCTGACAGTCCTTTTTCAGAGGTACTTTAAAGATACCTTGAAGCCTTTTTTGGCCTGGTGTATTTAATCCAGCATCTCAACCAAGGATATTAATCTTGTAAAAAATATGAACCGCTGGGGATTTAATTAATCTGTGGAAAAGTTATGTAGGAAGGTGAGCTAACTTCTTAAACCCTTCCAAGATCATCCATCTCATTTTAACTACGACATCCCACAGTCGGGAATTTCAGAATAGTGGAAAGTAGCCTTGATTTCAAAGAGTTGTTTATAGAGTTTTCGAATAACTTTGGTTTCCAACCATTTGTAATAGGATCCGAAGAACTCGGGATGGATGTGGTTGAGGTACTTTGTCATCACAGCGATGACGATTATTCTGTGGTTTGCTCAGGTAACGGTTTTTATACGTGTTTATAACATAGCCAAAGTAAAGCGCGCGCTCTGATTGGTCAATTTAGCGTTCCCAATTTGCCCATGGGTGTACGCTGCTGACGTGAGCAAATGCAAAGACTATTTTTCCGCGCGCGCTTGTTTTTTCTGGTCGCGTAAGATTTGTTAAATAAAAGGGAACTCTTTAGCTACAATGTATCAATGTTATGTTATTAAACAAATGGTAAACACCACAGCGTACACTATTGAGTATGGATGCACTTGTGAGGTGTGCTAAGCACTCAAGAAGCTAGAGTCGCTCTCGGCTGTCGCCTCGCGCGACTCTTACGCTTCTTTCGTGTTTAGCAACCTCCCGCGTGCATCCATAACTCAATAGTGTACGCTGTGGTGTTTACCATTTGTTAAATAGAGGGATAAAGACATGGGACATATGGCTAAAGTTTGAGAGAATTGACGCAACTAAATCCTCAATTTGGATGGAATTGTCATCAATAATGACTAAATTTTATTGGTCTTTGATTGTTCTTGAACTGTTATGTTCTTACCAAAAGAGACAGAGTTTATTAAATTTTTTTTATTTTTTATTTATAGATATTCTTGTCCGCACAAAATTTCTTCTTGGCTTGTGTCGCGGGATTTTTGCATGGATGGTTCACTGCCTTATTGTGCATGTTAAATGTTCACGATGCCAGGTAAATGAAATCATGTATTTTTATCGTTGTAACCGATAGAAAAGACTCACTTTCAAGCAGTCCCATAAAAACCAAATGAAAAGAACAAGGGAGAGACTTACTATCGACTATGATAGGCCATCACTGAATACAAAATAAGTTCATTCACCACGGAACCAACTCATAATAAAGCAGTAACCGCTATTTTCTCCAGATGTATTTTGAAGCCAAGCTAAACCAAAATAGCTCTCCATCGTTTTCTCAAAGTAGAGTTTCTCTGCTGGAAACAGCAATTACGACCATTTGGTGACGGGTTACTTATCAAGTGATCATTTATAAATTACTTTGGGACGCTCTGGAAGATAAAAAGTAAAAATTCTGATAGGGATACTTTAGTTTTTACTCTATCTCATGCAATATTCTAAACGGTTCTTAGCCTTGCAATATAAAGTTTTAATCATATTGTTGGACTGAGAATTTTATAAAAAATTGCGAAACTTCTTGTTCACATTTACTCTCCATGACGTAACAAATTTCAGCAAATATATATTTTTCAAGAATTCTAGAACTGTTTACTAAATGCTTGGCAAACGTACATGAAACAGTTTAGCTCAGTTCACTGAGTTACAAGCTGGTTTGAATGTGGGCCTAGACAAAGCGGAACATTTAAGTATATCGACGCCCGCTCTTGAAATTAAATGGAAATTTGTTTTCTTGTTATGTTTCAGTCATTTTTCTGTGACAAGTAATCCTTTTGTATGGAGACTAGTTGGCCATATGCATGACTATATAAATGGAGCGTCATACTTCGTTTGGGTACATCAGGTTGGTAATAAAAATCTAAGGGTTAGCTCAAAGTTTGAGCTAAACCTTAAAATTCTTATCAAGCTAGAGTTGTCCGGGTTGTGAGCTGTTGTTGCCACCTTTATTTAGTGCGACACCACCCTTAAAATCACAGAGGTCCCTTTGGTCATTTGCTAAAAGTAGGTTACAATAAGAGTTCACCTAAAATCGTTGAACTCTTGACTGGGACTGTGAATATTCTGTAAAAAATAAAAAACACCTATTCTAGGGCAGTTTGAGTTTTGTTTGAGACATGCAGGGTTTTAGGCATGTTTCAAAACATGATACCTCAGGCCTGCGCAGCCACAGTTCGAGTACAGCATTGTTCAAGACCTGGGCTAAACAATGTTCCAGACATGTTTCCAGACTTGTTAAGACTTTTTCATAACTGGTTCGAGCCAAAGTTACAAAAAGAGTTCCAAAATTGGATTTCAGACTGTTGTTTCTAAGCAAGGTACCAGACGTGGTTTTTAAAAAGGTTCTAACGGTTACGCCTAGGAAGGCGTTTACACACAATCCCAAAACTTGGCTCCAGATGTGGGCTTGAAGCGTGGTTTCGTTGGTTCCGCCCATGCCTCAAAACATGCTTCCATACACGCAGTCCAAGAAATCATAGTAGGCATGCTTTTAATTACACATGGCTTGAGGCATCGTACTACCCTAATTCTAGAAATTAAATTTCGGCCTCAATACATTTGTGTCTTCGCTTTCTTTTTTATTTTGTT